CACACTAGAGCAGGGACTTAGAGGGCACCAAGTGCTGCCCGCGACGCCTCAAAGAACCTGAGTCTATAGCGGCGCAACCGAAGTAAACGACCTATTGTTTCCCAATATTATTTGTAATTGCACCATTTGCATCCGAATTTTAGTACGTATTCCATTTTGACCGCGTGCCTATAGAAGGCGCCAAGGTACTGATTGCACCCGAGCCCTACAAGGGCTAGCGCCGGCGCTGTTTAAAAAGTCATTGAAGTCACCACGCCTGAGATGTATTACAACTCCGTGGCATCGATAATTCGTCTTTTCCAGTACAGTTTTGTTTTTGAGCCAGAAAAATTGCCCTCAGCGTGAACCTGCTGCTGCTGCTGTCTGAATTGCGACCAACCCTGTTCGCGATCGTACAAAGTCAATTTCATAGGTAAGCAAATTACACAAACAAAGAATGAGCAAGAAACTCTAGGGGTTGCTCTTTGTAAATAAAGCGTTGTATACATTTATCACTTACAATACTTATTTCAAATATCACTGAACAAGACTACCTGCAAGAGCTAAACGGGTTACTCATTACCAAGGATTCTTGTCATCCAAGTACGCAGAAACTGTATAATAACCTTTAGTATAAAGTTTTTGATTCAATACAGTTTTAAAACGTCGTGAATGGTTTTTTTTTTAAATAACTATAAAAATATCCAGTGACGGGACGAACAAGTCGTGATTGTAAGCTACACGCCTGTCTAACAGTTGCAGTGCCACTCAGAGCTTTAAATCGCAATTTGTAAGTTCACCAGCACCCTTACCCTTCAAAACCGGAACACAGTAATGTTGACATTACTGTTTGGCGGCAGATATAGGTAAGGTAGCAGTACTTTCTGGGACGAACTCTTTCACAAGGAGCTCTACTGCTACTAAATAACTTACTGTGTAAACCTACTGTATTTGGTAGAATAATTTCAAAGGTGCAAGCGTCCTCCTTGGCGACTCCCACCCCCGTTCTGCACAGAGTTATTACCGTTTAGAGCGATCTATTTAAATATAGTTATTTTTGTGTGAAAATCTGATGAAATATTATAAGTCATGGAACAAAAGTTGTTTTTTATGATGTTAGTAATATATTCCTGCAAGGTTAATATTTTAAAAATAACCTTGTATAAGCGGTGCTGGTGGTAGATCAGCAGGATGGCCATTCATAATGTATCACACCAAATTTCTGGGTTCAAATTATGGAATCTCCTGCACTATGAACAGCAGAATAACGATAACTCTGAGGCCAATATCCAGACCAGAATCAACTTAGAAATGTTCGTTTCCTAAATTGGCCCAAATCGAGAATCGAACCCGGAACCTCATCAAGCGCCAATAGTACTAACCGCCACGGAAGAGCACAAGCACACCCCGTAATCTAAGCTCGACCAAGCACCGCAGGCCGTGCGCGACCCCACCTTAGGTGGGGTACAGGTTTCGTAATGTATAACCGTGTATGTTTGAACTTGGTGATTTTAAATCAATATTGCAATCTCTAAACCACTTTCAACAAAAGCACGTTCACAGACCTATACACAAAATAAACACTTCGATAACAGCAAATTTGAACGCTAAGCAAATGAATTAGGCCATAAATTTCAACTATCCGTACAGACATAAATATCGATTTTTTTACACTATAACAGCGACACGTTTACGTTTGTCTTTGTGTACGTTCACGATTAAACTGAACTCTTATCTTATCATGGCTTTAAAGAAGGTGCAATTTTAGAACCGCTCGTTCTTTTCGTTTATCAACTGCACGCTTGATAATAATGACGTCAGTGAGCAGACAACCAAACCTGTTACCTGCTATCGAATGAGGGAATTCGATAGTATTACCACGCACAACACACAGACTTATTTAATTTTCTTTTTCGAAATTAGTCCTACCGGGAATTGAATCCGAGACCTCCTCATCTAGAATTCCCTGGGCCACCGAGGTCATCATGAACTAACGCACTAATGAGTGTCATCGTGCGTCGACGCGCTTCGCCAGGCGTTTTAGTTGAAAAACAGGACGCGACGCGACGCTTCGACTCTGCGCCCGTGCGAGTTAAGCCTAATTTCCTTTGTGTAATTAACTTAACATTGATTTGTGAAAGAATAATTTATTGTAATTTTATTTGTCTATTTTTAACTGACTTCAAAAAAGGGAGGAGATTGTCAATTCGACGGTATGTTTTTTTTTTAATTTGAAGAAAATATTCCACCTCCAATAGTGGCAAACTAGCAGATGAATGACTTCTTAGGTCGGTTTGTTTAGTACACTGTACTGAGATTATTAATTTTCATTTAATCTATGCATGTTTTTGTATTTTTTTTATATAACTATGCAGTTATATAAAAAAAATCAATGTTTTTAAATAACTCGATTAAAAATTAATTTATAATCAGGTTACAAAGACCCGTAAATACGTACCATATAGACTAACAAACATAATAATATAAGACAACACAATTGGACGTAGTTAAACTAAAAGGTTCCAATCCACATCCACTCACTTTCCGAGATATAGGTTTTTGAAGTTTAAAAGTGTTTCTCACTCTTGTTTTATTTTCAAAACTTAAAATGTCATGTAACTCCAGAGATATTTAATTAAATTTTTATTGAATTGATATTCAATTATTTTTTGTGAAATTACTCCACTAGTTTGTTATAATTATTAATACAAAGATCGAACACTCAGAAAAAATCCGTGGCTTAGTTGGTATAGCGTCTGGCACGGTATGCAAGAAGACGTCTCGGTTCGAATCCGACCGGATCGAAGGAATTTTTTCTGAGTGTTTTTTCTGAGTGTTCGATCTTTGTATTAATAATTATAACAAACTAGTGGAGTAATTTCACAAAAAATAATTGAATATCAATTCAATAAAAATTTAATTAATACAGTGAATAGCGACATCTCTCGCCAGGACTGGTAGCTGTAAAGGTACTAACTGGGTAATAAATCTGTAATAGATTTCTCATAGATGACGCTACGACTAAAAAGTCGTTGAAAGACCAAGTACAAAGACACGACGCAAGCACATAGAAAAATTCGTGAGGTCCGTTGGTTCGTTCCGTGGCTTAGTTGGTATAGCGTCTGGCACGGTATGCAAGAAGACTTTGGTTCGAATCCGACCGGATCGAAGGAAATTTTTTCTGAGTGTTTTTTCTGAGTGTTCGATCTTTGTATTAATAATTATAACAATCCAGAGATATTTATTTATGTTTATACGTTGGATTTTTTGCTCATCTATGAGGTTAGACTTTAGGAACCGTTTGGTACATATAACTAATTTTTTGATAATTTTGTGGATTGGATCCTTTTTGCTTAACTGCGTCCAATTAATTAATTACACATATCGACTGCAACGTGTGACGCAACACGGGTATCCGGTAACCGATCTCGGAAAAATCGGTACTCTTCGGCCAAAAGTCCTCCTTCATGAAAGTCGATAGATAAAATATCATTGTTTCAAAATAATAAATAAAACAAGCGAGTGTTTCAACAATAGCACGCTATAAATTAGTATATAGGTCCCCTACATACGGATGTATGATGAATTGATGACGAATACCGAGTGTTATTAATGCCTATTGGGTAACGCCTAATTTATTGTAATAGATATTGATTTGTTATTTTTTCTAGTAGTGTTAAAAATAGACACAACGTACTATTAAAACTTTCGAATCATTCCCTATTCTCTTCAAGTAGCAATAGTCTCTTGTGAAGTTCGTCCAGGGAAATACCGAAAGCAGTAATGAAAGCATAACTGCGTTCCCGCTTTGAAGGATAAGGCTCAAACTTCATGTCAATTGTGTAGAGTGAGACGGGAGCTACGGGAATAGACAACCACACCAATTGCCTGGTCTCATAATAGGTAATTCCCAAGCGTTGCTATTGCAGTGAATTTTGGTAGCTGTATTTTTCAGCTCATTTAGCAGGAAAATCAAAAAACTGCTTCAACATCGCAAGATTATAATGATTTGATTGATATTGATGACATTTTTATGGGTTAATCATTTGTAAACTTAAGAAAAATATATATTTAAAACGCAATCTCATATATTGTTTTGGTTTAGCCAGATTTGGCAACTTTATCCAGATTTTTTTTATAAAACCAAGTGACGGAACGAATAAGTCGTGCGCCTGGTAGTAAGCGACACGCCTATCCATAACAGTTGCAGTGCCACTTAGAGCATTAAATCGCAAAGATCTTAGGGGCCCATTTAAAGCTTTAAATCGCAAAGATCTTAGGTGCACTGCCACTGTGCTCGTCGCCCTGAGACATAAGTTGACAAAACCCATGTGCCTGTAATTTCACCAGCACCCTTACTGTTTGACGGCAGAAATAGATAAGGTGGCAGTACTGCCCCGGTCGAAACGTCTCACAAGGAGCTCTACTGCTACTAAAAAAATAATTTCTTAGAATCTCGCAACTTTTCGACTTAGGTTTAGCTACTTCCTCCTTGGGCAAAGTGGCAACACTGGAATTCCCGGTCCTAGGAGTAGTAGAGCAACGGAATTCACTCAGGGGCACTTCCTTGAATACCTTGACCAGAAACAATTTAGAAAAGTTCGTTTCCCAAATTGATCTTACCGGGAATCTAACCCGGGGCTTCCTCATCCAGCGCCCACAGTGCAAACCGTTGGATTTTTCTGAAATACGAGCGACTTATTTTTTGGCTCTTATCTAGTTTTACAATTGACATAAAGATCATTATGTAAAGGCGCCAAAAATGCACTTGATCAATTAGCTTATCAAATTTTAATAGATCGCTCTAAACGGTAATAACTCTGTGCGGTATCAAAAACAATGGGGGTCGTCGGGGATGACGTTTGCGTGTTTGAAGTTTGAATTTAAAACAAACAAATAATGATAAATTTATCAAAAAATGAAACTTTGTTTCTATTTATATTTATCATGTTTTGTAAAGTCATAGAACAAAAATTATTGTTTACTGTAGTTGTAGTCTAAGTATAAAGAAATGTACCTACCTCTCCTCAAACATAGTAGAACTGGTCATGTTGAAGCTATCATCCACCAAACTTGAGTCTTCTAACGTCCTGTCGTTTCGATTAATAATTTCTCTGTCATTCCTAATTTCATTTCTGTGAACCACATCATTTCGGTAACTGTCGTTTCTGTGATCTACGTCACCAGGGTAGCTGTGATTTATATCGTTTTTGTGATCTTTTTCTCTGTAATAATCATTTTTCTGGCCAACTTTGTCGTTTCTGAGGTCCGTGTTGTGATTTCGCTGGTCTGCTTTCTCATTTCTATAGAGGTCTTTGTCGCTTCTGCCGAAATCGTTGGGCAGGCTCAGGCAATGATCGCTTTCGATAGATTTTGATTGTTCTCTGCATTTTTGGTCCCAGAGTTTTTTGGTTTCGTCTTGAACACGCCGTTTAAGTTCCGATATTTTTTCACGTTCGTTTTCTATTACTTGACACCCTGAAATAAATTAAGATCAGTAAACATGCCAATAGTATATCTTTGAAATGGAATTGGGAGTTTTTCTTTACGATATTTTGCAGTTGGCTGCTGCTGGCTTTAACCGGCCAAAGAGTAAAATGGGCGAGCTGAAGGCTTTTAATTGTGGATGTGGCAAAAGGCTCCGTTCGCGACTTAAGATTTTGGGGTAAAACTTTACAACGCGTTTTAGAAACTATCGTCAATCCATCTATTAGCATAGTCTCAAATTACAACGCCACCTATTGATATAGTCTCAAACTACGACGCCAATTATTTTGTCTCTACATAAGGAAAATTCCTTAACGAAATTAACGGAGTGTCACTCCTTCTAACACTAGACCGTTCTTAGTTATTAACACTAGACCGTTCTTAGGTATTTTCCTAAATTAGTCATAGTAGCAGAAATTGAACAGATCGGTCAGACAAAATACACAAGTAAATGTGACGTGGTATCGTACCAGGAAGTCCAAGATAAAGCACACCGATCAGTAAGGAATTTCTCTTTTTCTAAATTCTATTCTTTGGGAGAATATCTAGCGATTGAATAGTGAGAGTATTTCGATTTCCATTCAATATAACTTCTGTTATTATGCAATATCTATTTGGATTGGCATAACAGCTCCGATTGGTTGTATAATATGTTTGATTTTACATCGTCATTTACACATTATAGTTATTTACGATTTTTTTTATTGAATTCATATACAATTATTTTTTATGTGAAATTACTCCTCTAGTTTCTTATAATTATTAATACAAACATCGAACAATCAGAAAAAATTTCTTCGAATTTATTTTTGCCTCTAGTTACCAAAAGGTTGGCAGTTACTTCTTCTAAAGATCAATTTTGCTACCCTAAGGCGGTATGCACCAGGGCGTAAAAGTCAAATTCCATTGACTTTTACGCCCTGGTGCATGCTTCTTTTAACGAAGTTTTTGTTGATTTCTTCTATAGAAGATGATATGACGTAATTATGCATGTTTAGTATTTCCCTTATATAATGCCATATAAATATATTTGTAATATACATGGCCAAATGTATGTACATTACGATCCTAAATATAATTTGTTTCTATATAAAACAAAGCGAGTTTAAAGATAGAAACATACCTTGTTCTTCGAGCATTTCCATTCTTTTTCGTTCAATTTCCATCAAACTATCCAGCGTTCTCTTTCCAAGCGAATTCATGTCGGTGTCACTCGAAAGTATTGGAGCGTCCATAGTGACTTTGGAGATTCTATCAATGTCATCTTGAGAAGGAATTTTGCCAGAGTCAGACATATTTTTAAATTCAGATATAGTAGTTTTTATATTAGGTTCGTCTCCACAGCTTTTTCTGTGCAATATCTTTGGTTTATCAGTGGAGGTTTTTCGTAAACTTTCGTATTTATCATTAACGTTGTATACGTTATTACCTGTGTTGGATTTCTCGACAGGCTCAGCTTCTTCTTTAATAGAGTTTTGTTTGTCAGGAGAAAGAGATTTGGCTTTGATGTATTTGTTTTCTGACATCGGTTTTGTGTTTTTCGTGAAACGACTTTTACTAACACAATCATTTTCATTCTCTTTGATATGATCACGAGATTTCTTGCCGAATGAGTCTTTTTTGATTATTTTACCAAGTGCGGCAAATGTAGGTATTTTGGAAGAGGAATTACTTTTAACAGGGCCAGTAGTTTTGTCCTTCTTTTTCGAATGACGTAAGCTGTTGAACTTATCCATAGAATTAGGATCTTCTTCAATAGTATCATTATTATAAAACATGTTTTCGTTTAAACTTTGAGACATAATGTCGACTTTTTCAGGTGACTTTAGTTTCTTTTTTCGTTTTAAAGAATCGAAATTCCGTTCCCAAAATCCTTTCTTCTCTTTTGAAGAAGTTGAAGACTTAGAAGGGCTTTCGCTATGTCTACTATCGTCAATTATGTCCGTTATGACACGCCTTTCAATATCGACAATCATAGACTGTGACATCCTGTCTATGGAATTGAATTTTTCTTTGATATGTTGAGTATGATCCTCGTAATTTGATACTTTTGTTATATCCAGATCGTCACTATCTGAGCTTTGTGGGGAATATCCAAATTCACCAGATTTGGCCCTGTTTTGATCCGTATAGAATGCACTATCAGGGGACTGTGTTCTTTCTATATCATTTAGTTTAGTCACAATAGGTTTTAACTCTTTCTCTATCGCCTGAACTTTGCTGGTCAATTCTTCGACTTGGTTTAATAATCTAACATATTCCGCTTGTAGTATTTTAGTTTCATCTAAAGCCGAGGTAAGATTGTCACTAGCCTCGGATTTTAGAGTTAATATTCTGGATTTTTGAGCTTCTATCCTTTTGGTAAGAAGGATTATTTCGTTTTGGAGGTCTTCTCTATTTGCCAGTCTGTTGAAGAAACGTTACGGTTAAATTTGCCTAATATTATCACGGATTAGTAATCTTGAAAAAGTTAGTTTATTTGTTTTTGTGTTATATGGTTTACAAATACACAGTTATGACTTATGATTATGACATATACAAAAAGGAACTTTAAAATAAGCAGATTTAAAATTAATTATTTTGTATGTTTTAATATATCTACTTCTATCCAATATAATTAATATGATTTTAAGCAAATGAATGCTGCTTATAATTCCCATATAGCTCTGCCATCGAGTCCTCTATTGTACAGTAACCAATGACAGTGTCTGTGGTGTTAGTGATCTAGATGGTTCTTTAGAATGGACTACGAACATCAGTGTGCATACTTACAATTCCGACTCCTCCTCCAAATGCTGGAACTCCAGGTCCTCAAATATCTTGGTCTCATTATCCAGTATGTCTTGAGCGTTCTGTAATTCTTCCACCGTGGCGACGTCATTTTTCATGTCTTTCTCGATTCTGTAAAGGAACAACCTGGTGTTAGAGTTATTTCTGCCATTTCCCACAATCATACGACATGTAAAACTACTATCAGAATCTTATAATGTAGGAAAGTTTTTTGTATTTAAAATTTTTTACACGACGCGACATTATTGTCTTTTAAAAATTGTTGTTTCGAGAATTACTACCATTATATTTTAAGTATATTGATGGTTTCGTTACACATGTAGTCGGTACCTACGTTAAGTTTGTTTTATAGTAAGGAAATTTTCTGATCCATGCCAGTTTGTCTTTCGTACATAATGTTGAATAAGTGTTGTTATACTATATTGGATCCTTACCTCTCCACCTTAAGCGTAGCAATTTCAACTCGATCTCTCAGCTCGTTCTGCCTCGTTTCTTGTTTCTGTTTCATCTGCTTGATCTCTTCTTCGATACTCCTCGCTTTCTCCATAAGATTAGCTTTTTTCTTCTGTTCAATGTTCAGAATCGCTATTTCTGAGTCGTATTCGCCTTTTATAAGGGCTTTTTCCATTTCCAACTGAAAGATATTACAAGTACTTAGCAACTTGATATGTTTTTAATAATAAGTTAACAAAATTAAAAAAAAATACTGTGGTGTATAGAAAATAAAGGTACGCTGCAGCGCGACTGCTCCCGCTATTATGACGATATATTAAATATCGGTGTGAATGGAGATATCGCATGCGCACGTTAACTATTCAAACGTTGTTTTATCCCTGTACAAAGTAGTGTAGACGTCACAATTACCATGATCGCATATGATAGCTAACCAATGACAGAACACTTGCAAGTACTAGACATCGTATCTTTGGTAAAATAAAGCCACATGTGATCATATGTCAAAAGTGCTTTATAGTACCTCAGCTCGTATTAAAATATTTCTCATACTAAATCGGTTCCATTGCGCGGGTCGAGCGGCAGGCATTTATTTGAGAATTTATATTTTTACGAACGAAAATAAAGCCATTTGGAAAATGTATAAGTACCGTATACTACACATGTTCCGTCTAGGTCAGTTGTTATAAAAAAATCATTTTCGCTTCTCATGCTCTTAAAGTTCGTATTTATGCTGGGTGTAGGCTGCATAAAACAGGATTTTTATGATCTAGTGCATAAAATAAAAAAACCATCACATTAAATATGTCTAATTGTTGTAATTTTACATTGAATTTTAATTAAATAATCGTTTATTTGTAACATTGCTGTTTAATTTCCTCGCAATCGAAATGAAAAGTAGAGTGTATAACCCGTTCATAAAACTCATTTTACCCTCGTCTTTAAGTATCCAATAAGTAAAATGACGCGTTTTGTGCACTTGTTATACAATCTACTATGGTATATGTAAAGTATCAATTGAATACAGCGATTTTCTTGGAAAATTTCGAGATTTGTGTTTTTTTTTCTATCGTGAAAATTTTTAGGACTCGTGTTTTCACACAGTATACTAATCAGTGTATGTATGTCTTCAATTTTTCTACACATATTTTCCAAAGTGATTGCTTCAAGATTTTCACTGTTATGCGAAATCAACCAAAGCCATTTGAGGTTGTATAGAGTCTTAAGCATAAAACTTATCAACTAACTACGTTATAGATAGACTCTTTAAAACTCAGAAGAGTCGACATTTTGCAAACATGGCCATATTATATTAAGGCGATATACTGAACGGCATTTGTTACCTAAAATTAAAAATGTCGCATTATCTCTAAAAAGTTATTTAAAGACAGGTGCAGTTTAACACAAGGGGTGACGCGTCTGCCTATATTCTCAATGTAACCCATAGTATCTTACGATATTTAAGGAACCAACTTACCTCTCTCAAAATATCATCTTCTTGTGACCTAATTTCAGTCATTTTATTCTTAATTTCATGTATTTCAGTTACCAATTTCTTCCTTTCATCTTTGAGTTTCTCATACTTGGTTTTCAGTTCTCCTACATTGTCATCTAACATACTGTCAATGGAATCAGCTTTGAAATCTAATTTCCTTATATCTTCGGTTATATTTTTTATTATGTTCTCTCTTTTGTTGTCTTTTAAATCTTTTTCGAATTCTTCCAATTCAGGTATATCTGCCATTAGTTCTTTTTTAACGTCTTCAAAGCTTTTATTTTTTTGCAATTTCTCTGGTAATTGGATCTCTTTTTCAATGAACACTTTAGTTTCTGTTATGTCATCTTTGAGAGAATTTCTTTTATTTGAATGGTTATCGCTCTGTTTTTTTTCTTCTTGTGACATGTCATATTGTCTCTTTTCATTTTGACTAACATTAGAAAGATATATCTGTTCTTTTTCCTCTTGTACAATTGCGTGAGATTGTTTGGGTTCGGCTTTGTTTTGTTTGTGGTCATCAGGCTTGGAGTGTCTAAGTTCTATGTCATTAGAAATGTCCACGTCATCAATCATGGGAATTTCTTCTTCTAAACTTAGTTGTTTTTCTATACCGATTTTTTCGGGTCTTTTAGGTTCTTTTGGACTTAGGTCTTTCTCTCTGTTAGACTGATGTTGTGTATTCATATTTTGATTTTGCAAACTCAAAATTTGGTTTTTCAAACTCGAATTCTGGTTTTGCAAGCACGAATTCTGCATTTGCACACTCAAATTCTGATTTTGTAAAGACAAATTCTGATTTTGCGAAGTCGAATTCTGATTTTGCTTATTCAAATTTTGGGATTTCTGGTTGATATCAAAATTAGGGCTTTTGTTGCTGTCAGAAGCTGGAGGCGTAGGAAAAATAAAATACTGCGGCGATGGTAGATTTTTATGAGCATAAGTGGTTTTAATCCTCGATCTTGGACTTTGAGTGTTTGGAGATTTTGGTTTGAGAAGGTTATTTCTGTTATAATAAACATTCTCATATGGACTTCCTATGGGTGAAGTGGATAGGTGCCTCTCACCATTTTGAAGTTTTCTTATCATAATTGGACTAGATAATTCCTGAGGACTTTCATCGAATACTGGGATACCTAGGAAAGAGTTATATAATTATTATTCCAGAATGCGGTAACCGCCATTTCATTACGAACCAACTGTTGTGGTTGGCAAGTCAGATTGTCCACCTGTTTATCACGGGACGTGGAAGCCATGTGATTGGTTCAGTTTGGAAATGTAGTATTTTCGCTCTAAAGCAAATGATAAACTCAGGCTTTATCGTGTATTGTTGACTTACACAGCATGGAATCACACTAATTGAGTAATGCCTCAAGCATGCATGACTTATGATGGAATATTATGCCCAACAGTGGCCAAGGTTTTTTGTAAAAGACTAGCATCATCTCAGGACTATATAACATCATAGACAAAAACTTTTGTTCCATGACTTTTAATAATTCATCAAATTTAATTTTCGTACACAAATATAAACAGATCACTCTAAACGGTGAAAACTCTGTGTGGTAACAAGGAAAGGTAGGGTTCGTCGGGGAAGAACGCTTGCACTATTGAACTTACTACCAAATATAGATCTAAAAAGTGTCAGATGGTACAATAAAAACTTAAGACTGAGTTTATTTTTGGTAAATTTATAATGTTTTGCAAAAAGTTACGCGAACTTAATTTTTGGTCCTGATTTTGATTCAAACCGGAATTGATCCGATCGGGTGGTCTCGAAAACAGATGGGTTTCTGAGCGAGAACATGAACCTGATTCTTACTATATCTTTCTAATTTGTGAGTTAAATCAAGTATTTCCGATTAGAAATGTCAAAAGTTTCCGATCGACCATTCCGACGCCTTACTTTCTCAAACTAAGTGTTTGAGAAACCTTATAAAGATTCAGGGGGTGGCAAAAAATTCTATTTATTTTAATTTTCTTATAAAGGGTGTTAATTTGGACGCATTACTTTAAGAATAGGCAAAAGCCAGTGTGTGAATATGAAGGAAATTTGATGTGAAATCAGCCTGAATAATTTGTATGTACAATCCATTTCAGTTACTTTGTTTTTTAAGATACGAGTTTGAGAAAGTAAGGCGAGTAAGGTTTTTTACTTTTTACGAGCAGAAGGCTCATAACCCGTAGGTTAGCGGCGCACGGGCGGGCGCCGTATTTACATGAGAGAGAGAGAGAGAGAGAGAGAGAGGCATATACACAGGTCCTCCCTGTCTCTTTAACTTATGTTTAGGACGTACATTTACCCAAACTATGTATAAAGGTTGACTTCGAATAAATGTCAATCACCGGGCATTTCACTTCTCCAACTAACAACCATCCGAGCATCAGCTACACACTTTACTTACCAATTTCATCCATTCGGCCAACGTTTTCATAATTATTTTGGTGTCTAATCGTGACTTCTGGTGTAAGCTGCTCGTGAATATCGAGGTTTTCGTAGCTGCTCAGATTCCTTTGAATTGGTAGCGACTGACTTAGTGAATTGTTTCGGCTGTGACTAGTTTCGAATCTGGAAAATATATATCAGGTTACAATCTTGATTGTAATGAAAATTAAACTTACAAACATTGAAGTTTACTTAGATAGTAAACTTCAATGGTTTCCACATATATCTTCCCTGGCCAGCAGATTAAGCTCCGCTGCTTACGCAGTCCGCAGAATACGTGAGTTTACCGATGTTAGTACTGCTAGACTAGTTTACTTTAGTTACTTCGTAAGTTTTAGAAAAATCATATTACAAAATTGAAGACACTACATACATCTTTATCTAACACGTAGTTAGATAAAGATGGTATGGAAAGACGACATGGCTCCAGACAAATTTGATTCAAAGTGTATTACATAGCATTTAAGTTTATTTGAAAAGAGCAATCCCTAGAGTTTCTTGCTCGTTCTTCTCAGGGAGGTCAGCGTAGTGAACGAGCAGTAGCTTAAATGTGACGTTTTCAAGTGTAAATTTATTTTACCTATAGAATAAACAATCTTTGACTTTGACTTTGATTTGATTCATTTATTTTTTTGTGAAATTACTCCGCTAGGAAATGAAACTATTTTTCCGGATTTAAATAGCGTATATTTATTTTTTCAAACAAACCAACGTTTCGGGCCCTTTACAGGTCCCATGGTCACGGTTGACTGAAAATATATATATTGTTGTGAAATCTTCGAAATATACGTGAAAAAGTTACTTATTCGATTTACTGAGTGAATGATTTAGAATTTTAACCAAACAGTTTTGTTTACTTTTTGTTCCAAATGGATTGAAACAGACTTTAGGTACCTTTACAGCTACCAGATGCTGATAAGAGATGTCGCTTTATACATTGTAATAATGAATATTATGATACTTTTCTAACATGATATTCATTTATTTTTTATTAAATTACTCCATTATACTTCGCACGCTTTCTAAGGCGTGTGAGCCTTCTTCGACATGAGAGTTTTCATCACCACAAACATTCACAAATTGTATACAAATCTATCTCAATGCTAAGTTTAATTAACTTTTCAATGTATACAGAGATCCATATACAAGGCATGACAAGCTTTTAACTTTAAGATGAGTACGTATAAGTAATACATGTTTTAAAAAGTACGAAAGCATTTGTCCACAATTTCACCTGACAACGCATAGCGATGTGGTCGAGGACTTCAAGGCCTATAAAGTGCCTGTTTACACTACCCTTGAAAAGGTCAAGTTAAATTTGACGAGTCAAACTATAGTTAATGAGATATAATTAACATCATTGGTTTGACTTTGTTTTTTTTTTTTCATAATTTTGTAATAATAACGCGCGCACACTCATAGTCCCGCACAAGGTAAACCCTGTATCCCGGGTGCCATGAACACCCTCATAGACAACCACAAATTACACCCAAACTCACGAGAGAAATAAATGTAGGACATACAAATATTTCTCGCGGCACGGGAATCGAACCCGGGACCTCTGCGTGGCAGTCCGACATGGTAACCGTTCTGCCACGAAGGCAGTTTATATATTCTATACTATATTCTACTCACTTGTAATAGCCGTCGCTGGTCTGCACAAAGTTGGGGTTGTTGTAAGCGACGCTACGAGGTAGGGAGCCGTTGGTGATGATCTTGTTATGAGGTCGTTTCTCAGTCGGTGTTACAGGAATGCCTGTAACCGTAAATCAAATTCTGATAAGCTACGAGCTTTATACACCGACCGCTTGCTGGTGGTATTGTGGATAGTCGTGCAGTTTAAGTGTCGTGGCACGACAGACTGTCGTGACAATGGGAAATGCTATAACGACAGTTGTCCAACGATAAATACAACGTCGCGAAAAAAATGTTACGACAGATAATCGCAGCTCTAAAAGATTCTGTCACGCTAACGACAAGGCGGCTGCCGTGAACCGATAAATTGTCGACACGATCTAGTGGGAACAGCTAGACACGACAGTCGTTCAACGATAAGGTAAAACGTCCACGACACAGTCACAGATAGTCGTGATATGGGAACAAACGAAACGCGACAGTCGTTTAAGGATAAATAAAACGTTACAACACAATGGGAACACGCCCTTACGCTTCCGTTCTGAACAGGGGCGCTATACTTTTTTCAATACAAAGTAATTTGAGCCTACCTGAGGCGATCTGTCTCTCGTACTCAGCACACATGTTGAGGATTTCTTCCAACCGTGCAGTCTCGGCTTCCTTTTGCTCTTCTTCTTTTATTCTGTCTTGGTATGCCTGGAACAATGGTTAGACGGTTCAGTCAACATTCAAGATCAAACTCGTATAAAAATAATAATAATTAGTTTCTTAATTTAATTTATTTACTTAAAACCTAAAATACATTAATGGCCGTTTTGACAGTTTACAATAGTAACGTCAAACCTCAATTAAATGAGAGTCGCATCTTTAAGTTATTAGCTTTATAACTGGTATTGCGAGGGGTAGCTGATTAAAAAGTGATAAAAACGAAAATAAAAATGTTTACTTAATATATCGTCAATTGGAAACTGCTCCGTTTTGCATTGAGCTTTGACGGGAGTTTGCCGGAGGTAGAAGTTGTGCTGGACATGTTTTTAAAATCAAAATAAGTCTGCTTTTAGTAAAATTTTGTACCTACGGTATTTAAGGTGCTTTCTCTCCGTGTGGCATAGTCGTGCGACTCATTATATAATAGTGCATAAGTATGTTGTACAACCAAGAACACATAATATCGATAGTTTGAGCATATCCAGCTCGATACTTTCGAATATCACTATTAAATTGCACGTGCTCGTGACTGTAAAAGTCAGTAAAAAAAAGTGTTATATTATCTACTCACCATTCCACAAAACAATTTATCGATCTTCTTAATAATATTATTGTAAATCTCATTCCTAACATACAATTGATTAAACTGACTGTACTTTAAGTCATTGCCAACTACCATAACGTTACTATTATGTATAGTTTTATTATGAATGCTAGCAACATTGTCGGCCATCTTTGACAATTCCATTTTCAAATTTTCGTAAGACTGTTTGATTTCCTTTTCTAAATTGATTATTTTATTGTCTATGCTATTCTCGTGGTCTCTGGTTTCCTTGATATAGTGATTGGTTAGTATAGTATTTACGGTTTTATACATTTTGATATCATTTCTTATTTTATGTACTGTATCGAGCTTCTCGTTCACAGAGTTGGCAATATCGATTATTCTTTCGTAATCTTTCGGTTCGTATGTGGTAATTATAATCGATTTCAGCTCTTTTAACGCTAGTGTGTTCTTCTTAACAGTTTGAGTGAAGAATTTTAGTAAGTTTTTGTTTACAGGCCTCTTTTTTGATGATTTCAACGCCATTTTGATTTTGTTTTATAAGTTACACTCCAGAGTTCAAAATCATTACTAATTTTTCAGTTAAGTTTGAACTCGCGATTAGAATTACACTCAGCATTGCACTTTGCACTTTCACTTTGTTTTTAATTAGACACTGTTTGTAAGAAACTTTCCGGACTATTTGTATCATCAGCTACCACTGATGGAACGAACGGAACTGTGACATTTTTATTATTAAACTAATTAATTAGTTTAATAATAAAAATGTCATAGAGTCACACGTTCAATATCACGTTGAGAACCAAACGAATTGTACAAACCAAACTAGCGTCGAAATAGAAAGTGCGGATTGGTCTGATTGTCATTGACAGCTATATCGAATTACATTAAGACAGTTAATAAAAAAAATGTGTTATTTGAGAACACTATCAATGTGACAACAGTGCCTCTACACGTGGCGTAGCGTGGGGGGTGCTGAGGAGAGCATGGCCCCAGGCGGCATAGCCATGGGCATTTAGGCCTGGTCTGGCGCAGGCCACATCGCCAAGTTTTATTTTAACGCACGCACTCAACGTAGCCCCGGACTAGAGAAACCCTGTGTCGCGGGTGCCATGGACGCACACATAGACAAACACAAATTACACCCAAACTCATGAGAGAAACAAATGTAGGCCATACAAATATTTCTCCTAGCCTGGGAATCGATACTGGGGCCTCTGCGTGGCTGTCCGGCATGGCAACCGTTCGGCCACGGAGGCAGTTAAACAGTGGCACAGTGTTGTCAGCGCACCAACTACTTCGCGCGCAATTAAAGATATAGCCATATAACCAGAAATAGACGAAATGGCATTTAATTTATTTGAAAACTATTCTGCCAAATCATTCCGGTGACATCTGCGCTCCGATTAGCCAGCGCGAATTCGAAACAATTGACGGGTGTCGTCAATTATTTCACTTCAAATCGATCAGTTTAACTTGAGCTTTCTTATAATGGACGAAAATTTAAAATTACATATTTAATATTTAATTACCGATGAAATATGATTCCGTTTGTTTTATAATTAGATGTTTTGCTGTTTTTTCCACACCACCGAATGGAACAGCCCTCCGTAGTTAGAAATATTATTATCTTTATTACAATAAATACAGAATATTTTTGGGACATACGGAGACGTACACACGGGTCAGTTGTTGTTGTTGCTGTACTATTTCAGCTTTCTAATTTGTGATTTCAGTGCAAACGAGAATTGATATTTAAAAGTGATATGAAGCCCGTTTGCCTGATGAGTTGCCAGGGAGGGATGTCCCTTATTTCGTCTCTATTTCTGGTTATATACTCGATGGCTGAGATCCATCGAGAAGCTACAGTACTCCGTATTATCAAGGGCAAGTTACTACACGTTTATTATTGAATATTAGTACAGTCTTTTGGTAATACGTGGAAAATTTTAGGCAAGCTGGTGGATGTCCAGTTATATGGACGTCTCGTCACTGCCCAGTAGTTATCATGATGATTATTTTATTTTATTTTATTATCTTAGGGGAGCTTATAGCTACTTTTACAATATGGATCTAAATATAAATAATCAGACCCCAATTAAAGGCTACCACATATAAATTGATGTTTAATTAACCAGTAATAAAAACAAATTAAAAATTTTACTGCAATAAATTACAGACATCCCGTGGTAGCATAAGGGCGCATTTATTCAACACGAATTTCATCGCGTTCACGCCGCGCAGGGACCGCGTGAAATAAATGTCATGGCAAAGTAAGCTCCATTTGTTTAGGTTTTAACGAACTATTTAACATTTAAGGTTTTAACTAACTAACTTTATGTTTTAAGCGCCCATGATGCTCTAAATGATAGAGCAGGACCTCTCGCTGCCGGGCATGGTTGCCGCCATGCTCGGTAGCGAGGAGTCCTGGGAAGCGGTGGCCTCCTTTTGCGTATAGGTTATGTCGCAAAAGGAGGCCGCGGAGCGGATGCGTGAGGACGCGGCAGACGTACAGGGAGAAGGCGAAGGCAGTTCGCTGCTCGCCTGATCCCCTAGTGAGGCCAGCGGACTCTGGACTCCGGAGGCTGCATTGCACGGACTCACTCGTCTAGGGGGCGGGTCGGAGGACAACCTACCCGCCCTTCCGTTGGCGCGGGAGCCCAAGTGCAAGCTAGGGCGGCCGGGCGGCGTCGCGGTGAATGCGTGGGAAAATCAGCTATCCCACGGCGCCGACTCAACCGGCGAGAGGTAAACCCGGGGGGGTTTTTAGTGGGGTAGGCCCTCCAGTCTGAAGGGAAAGTCCCCCTATATAACCCCTGAGTCTCCCTTGGCTCATAGGTATCTATAAAGATTTCCACCCCGTCAAAAAAAAAGTATGCTGTAAATGAGGCTGGTTTGTTCTAGGTCTATGCGGCGATCGCGCGGTTGTATTATTCACAGGAATTTAAATGTTGTTGCCTAGTAAATAGAATTCAGATTCGCCATTAACATACGTGAAAGCGTGGTAACTGGGCGGTGGCCGCGCGAAAACTTTCGCGTCGTGTAACAGGGCGGTAATTGTTTGACCTACCGCCTCTCAAGCAGAGGTCGAGGGTTGGAATCCGGCTCGCACCTCCGGGTTTCTTGGAATTTATGAATTTATTATGAGCTTTTCAAACGCACGCAACGCATGCACGCACACACAAGCACGTACCCATCCACACACGCACTGTCACTATACACATGCCTTACAATTTTACTATTCCACGTTATAAGTAAATGATAATTTTAAACTTGTTTTTACATTTACGGAACGCAGTATCTATTAATTTATTTTATTTGTTAACACTATAAACGTTGTACCTAACACCAAACAGTGGTTAAAGATTAGGAAACACGTGAAATTATTTAATCACATTTCATGGACACGTCTACCATGCAAAGGTCGAAAACAATTATAAAAGGATACCGCAATGAAAATCTGCATTGTCAATTACAAAAATAATTTTCCACTTGATAATTAAATCTCTATACGCCAGGGGAAGAGTTGCGGGGTGCGGGAGGCACATAATTGTATTCATATAAGATAAGTCGTCGTTTCCATCCACAGTAATTGTTAATTTGTTTTTCGGTTATTATCTTTACGTCATTTGTTATCATTTGATAGTATCATTTCCTTATTTAATGTGGTATATAAGGATTGAATTATACTTTTGTTTTTATTACGTGTCGTACGAATGCCTTATTAGCAGAGATCAGAATTGACCAAGTACGTTTACTTTAACTTCAAGGAAGTAATATACGGGGTTATTTTTTAAACACTAACAACTTGTATTGACGAGTTGTATTCTTTTCAACTCGAGTTAACGTGACTGCTAACTCGAGTTAACTCGACTCTGTGTATAACAGAGCAACCGCGAGTCGCGAGTAGAACTCGAACCGACGATTCACCGAGTTGGGCACGAACGTGCCACGAGTGCGGCGCTACAGATGACACCGCGCAGCACACCTTAGAGGTGTGCAGCCGGTGGGATGAGCAGCGCCGCACTCTGACGGGGGCTGTAGGGCAGGACCTCTCGCTGCTGAGCGTGGTTGCCGCCATGCTCGATAGCGAAGAGTCCTGGGAGGCGGTGGCCTCCTTTTGCGCAGAGGTTATGTCGCAAAAGGAGGCCGCGGCTCCGGCGCAGACGTACGGGGAGAAGACGAAGGCAGTTCGCTGCTCGCCTGATCTGGGGGGCGGGACAGAGGACAACCGACTCGCCCCTCGGTCGGTGCGGGAGCCCTGGCGCAAGCTAGTGCGACCGGGCGGCGTCGTGGTGGTGAATGTTCACCGATCCCAGGGCGCCGACTCAACCGGCGAGAGGGAAACCCGAGGGGGTTTTAGTGGGGTAGGCCCTCCAGTGTGAAGGGAGAGTCCCCACATAACCCCTGAGTCTCCCTGGGC